CTCCAGTTCTGTCATATTTCAGAACTGCAACCTACCTGGAGTGCCCAGAAGTACAAGGTGTTCAGTCCTCAGAGACACGGCCAAGATAAAGAAGGCTGAAACTCGACCACCACTGAACAAGATACATAAGTTGAAATGGCAAGACTGGGCCAAGAAATATCTGAAGACAGATCTTTCAAAGGTTTTATGGACTGATGAGATGAGAGTGACTCTTGACAGATCAGATGGATGGGCCCGTGGCTGGTTCAGTAACAGGCACAGAGCTCCACTTTGACTCAGATGCCAGCAAGGTGGAGGTGGGGTACTGGTATAGGCTGGTATTATTACAGATGAGCTAGTTGGACCTTTTTGGGTTGAAGATGGACTCAAAATCAACTCCCAAACCTACTGCCAGTATTCACAAGTTGTGGTCACGTGATGTCTCACTTAACGACTGCAGTGACTCACTTAAAGTAGGAAATGGAAGTGACATGAGTCTGGTGCAGTCATGTGATTTTTTTGCTTAGCAACAGAGTTGCTGATTCCAATTGTGGTCGGTAAGCAAGGACTACCTGTACTGTCCTGTTACAAGTTTTTATAAGAGGATGTCCACAGCTGTTTAAATCAACCAATTCAAAGATCTGGTAATTTCTTGGAAACAGTCAAGCTACTGCAATGAAATAAGCTGTTGCCAAAATGTACATTTTCCTAAAACATTCTCTATTAATTATATTACTACTAATCATTCAAGGGAAATACATACTGGATGATACAAAGCTGACAATGCCAGAAAAGATGCTTCAGCTTAAATTATGTGACATTATATGATTAAAGCTATTTGGCTACATGATTACAGAAGCTGAAAATTTGATAAACTATTTGAAACATAACTCTGAAATACACATTATGAAAATGTGTACCTTAACACAGTATGTGAAGGCAGCAAAGTAGAATTATATACTGTCTACCATACATATGTGGAATGAGATAAATTAATCATATTTTGGTTTAATTTCTCAGTTTTCATATATGGTTTACAAATTTTGTTCTGGCTGTTCTGGCAGCTGTTACTATTTTTGTTCTTTGGGAAATTCCTACTTTTTTAAAAAAAAAAAAGACAGAACCAAAGCAGTTTGTTCTGAAAACTTTCAAAACTTCTGAAAAGTTTAGAATTCTTAAATGTAATCCCTGTTTCTTTTCAAACACCAACTTTATGAAGAATCGAAATTTTAAAAATATACTGCTAATTTAAGAGTTAAAATGAAGTCTTAAAATTTCTTCCACAATAATTTGTAGTAAGAATATTGTCCTATTATAATTAGTCTGAAGACTACAACTTTTATTATGAAAAATAAAAAAATAAAATGTAGTAAAAGTGAAATAAACTAATGTAATAACTGCACAAATCAAATACTTGTTTTCTTAATTTCACAACTGTCCTATATTTTTAAAAGTATGTTTCTTATAGGTAAATAACTACATGAATAAGGGTTGTACATAACAAATGATGAAATAAGACAGAAAATTTCAAAATATTTTATAGAGGAAAGTAATATTGTTCTATAAATTTTCCATGAAAACCCTCTAGTAAATGTAGCACTGCTATAACTATTTCATGCATATACTTACTGATTTAAATAACAACCATTTTAATAATCTTTCTATATTAACACAAAATTCTACTATAAATTAAAAATGCTTTGTTTTGTACAACCCTGAGATTAAGATGTGAACAGTTATTTAACTAAGACTTAAAATTAAGTCCTTCAATATAAACAATAACTGAACTGAGATCAATGACCATTTAATTTTAGCTGATTCTAAGGCAAAATATTAAGTGACAGGTGCAAAATAACAACTAACAAGAACTGTTTTATAACAGTTGGGCACAAGTGTTGACTCTGCCTCTCCTAGCATATTTTTACAGTAGAAGACATATATTTAAAAAAAAAAAGATTGTCACAAAACAATGATCCAGATACATAGTCTTTGGCAAAAGAATCTCTTGCAAACTTAATAGATTCATCACACCTCTGCATTCTTCTACCCCTAAGAAAAAATAAGGAAGCTGCAGTCAAGATGACAATATTCCATCTCCTATGCTTTACCCTTGTCATTTATGCTTGCTTCTTTCTGCCTATTCACTCCCATACACACCAATACTTAGCAGTGGGTGATAGGAAGGCAGGAGGCATCTTCTCACCTTTCTTCCCCTCTCATTTAACAAGTAATCTGCCAAAGTAATTTGGCAAATTGTAAATTTGGGGGGCAAGAGTCATGCCAACAATTACTAGCAGCAAATCTCTATGTTCACTATTCTGGATTAACTTCTAGTAGGAAAGCATGAATTCAGAAAACAGAAGCAAAACAATTACTTGAATGCTTTGAGTATGTTCTTGTGCTGTATTTTCCAAGGCCCACAAACTTTCCTCCTTCATTTAGCAAAACAGAACACTCAATATTTTTGAGGCTCAATCAAAGCAAGTTCCTTGGACACATAAAATTCCTGCAGTTCTTCTCGCTCATATTTTATGCAAGGACTTTCCATATGGGTCCCAGGCTCCATGGCATTCTGTCCAACTATCTTCAGATTGACAAACTTGATTTTCCATGTATTCTCTCTAAATGGGCAGCGGATGAGGCCAAAGATTTGTTCAAAGACTCCCAAACAACAACTACTCCTATGAACTGTGCCAGCTACTGCCACCACAACTAATCCATGTGGCGAAACTGTACACTTTAGGCCACCTGCATTCAAGTTGGGATTCAAGAAGAGGTATTCTTCTTTCACTAATGACAGCAAGCGAAGGCTCACCAATTCTGCACCTGAGTACTCTTCTATGTTTTGTTCAGAGGTGTTGTAACAAAACTTTAGGGTTACATCACCCCAAAAATGCTGTGGTCCCCATTCTTCTTGTGGTTCTCCAATCAATGGGTTCTGAGAGTTCAGCATTCCAAAATACCACTGACAAAATTCCTCTGCCAGATTGTGACACTCTTTGTTCTCATCTCGATCTCCTCCTTGTTTTCCTCCATCTTCTGGTTTCTAAAAAATAAATCAAAATCAATTTTACTACAGCCCTAAGGCCAGATACAATCAAAATATCTATTAGAAGGACTATACAGTATATAAAAAACAGAAGAACAATAGGTATAATAGGATCTAATGTAATTAAGAACAGAGATACTGAAATAAATCAAAATAAAATACTATTATAAGAAATTGCAAACCTAAGCACAAAACTGGGCAACTTGGGAAAATATTTTTGGGTCCTTGTCTAAAAGAAGTAACATTAAATAGAAATCATACTCCCTACCTGGAAATTTCTTCAAGATCGGATATATAAAGGTCTGTCTACAATCCGTATGTAGGGAACAGTACAGTAGCATATGGCTTAGAGTTTCTATTGAGACATCACCACATGGGCATAACTGAAGGTACACAGGAGTGCCCTTAAAATGTCCAAAAAGAACTGCTGAGGGAAAAGCATACAATGTGGCTGAGGTGAAGGCCTTACAAAATTTCAAAATTATAACGGATGATAAATAGGAGGCTGGAACAAACCCTTTTGGAAGAAAATTATAAATATTGAGGTGTAACATCTTACTTAAATTTGTTTGGAGATCTATATCCCAAATATGTTCTTTTAGGGCGGTTCTAGCATTATCAGAACCTAATAAGCACAGACTATTCATAGAGAAGCCCAGCAGCTGAATTTTATCTAGGGCTTTTTTAAGCCATGATGATTTAAAACGATCTCTAAATACTAATGGGGCCAAACCTATTGGAAGAATTAATTTTAGACAGAAGATAAAAAGAAGAAAAAATTGTTTTATTTTATTGAAAAATAAAAAATAACACAAAATAGAATAAACACTTTTACTTTATGCAATAACAAGAAATTATTAAAAAGATCCTAAAAATACAGTGAAGTGGAATGAAACAATAACAGAAATATAGTCCCTGCTTTGAAACAGTATTTATAATGTACACACCATATTTATGGACTACCTAAAGATCTGAATAATATTTAATTTATTCAGAGCCATTTTATAAAACAAAAGGAAGCTTTATATGTTACTGTATATAATTTATTGTTTTTTACGTTCTATAGAGAGAGAACAAATAATGCAGTGCAAATCATTTAAAAGGTTACTTCATGAAGCATTTCGAACAAGTTTCTGAAAGGCTTCACAGAATACGTTTCCTGTCCCTTCACCATTACTTATCGTACACAAACTATACACTGCATGTCACTTTTTTCAAAATCTAAAATAATTCTATGGTAGAAGTCACTATGTTTATGACTTCTGCAAAAAAAGAAGCTAGAAAAGCACCTGGAAGTATCTACTTTAAAATTCTTTCAAGCAATTACATTGGGTATTTTCCAGATGGTATCTGAATTGATTTAATCTTTTAATATTGAAAATGACTCTCTTAGAAAAAGCAGTGACAGTAATAGGGCAAGATGCAGTTTTTCACACCTAAACCCAGTGAGTTACCACTGAGGAGACAAGAGTTATTTTCTGTATCTACCTCTTTCAAATTACTAAAGCCATTGTAAAATATATTACGAAATATACCTCTAAACTATATAGACTGGTTATTAGATTCAGTAACTCTTTTAACAATATCTCAAAAACACTTATTCACCTATATCAATTCAGAATCAAATAAGACATTTAGATGGATTTTGTAGAGTGAATGTGAATGATTAATTTGAAGGGGTGTTGTGAATTATGTATATTCTTTCTTATTTATTTGAAGACCCTGAATATTTTTATTTTTAATCTGTTAATTGCCCACAGTGACATTTTAATGTGTGTATGTAACATTCACGCAGTTACCGCAGGCCTCTCACGAGTGAGGGGAAAGAAGACACCAAACTGATTCTCCTT